GAAATATGTCCGTTCTCTTCCGTTTGCTTTTTTCCGTCTTCTCAGTGGCCTCGCGCCGCTAGTATTGAAATGCCTCATGCGCGCAGACAGTCTCTTCATCACTGCCACCTGGAACGCTCGCACCAGAAGGCAATGCCTTCAACCTGCAAGGAAGCTTCAAATCCCAAATCCTGTGGTCGCAGGCCGTGCTACTGCTTTGAAAACGCAGACTGGTGGTCAATGCACATGTGAATCTCAGCTACAAATGTCGTCTAGGCTTTTGGTCAACTGCATGATATTGGTTGGCATACTCAGAACAGCAGGAAGACAAAGCTGAAAACTCTTCCAAACAATGCATTTGAGTAAAGAAGTGAAGGATAAAGGCACAAAAACATGTCACCTATGCTGAGATCCAAGTGCTAGCTGCTAATAAAGTTGGAACAGTTCAAATGTATTTCCCAAGCGTCGCAACTTGGCGGGCAAAAGCATGGGGCATGTCTGAGGCGAGGCGTAACAAAGCGATGCGCTTATGAATTTCCTGGAGGCTCAACTCTTGACATGTTCTGGCTTTGTAGATGTTTAGTCATCTGCTTTTGTCTAAAGCGGATGGATTGTGGTCAAAGACCTGACTCTCCTTATTTCTTAAAAGAAAATGTCAATATCTGGGTTCTGATTTCAAGGTCTAGGGCTGAAGTGTGCAAACTGAAAGCTGCCCACAAAGATTTAAAACCGATAACAAAAGAACAGAAACATGCAGTTCTGCAAAATACAAGCCAAAAAAACAGGTTGCGAACCCCCCCAAAAAAGGAGAGCGGACCTTTGCAGATTTTCCAGATTATGGGATGGCCACACCGTGCGCCGTCATGCTGCTACAAGTATTACACAATTAACGCCAAAATTATTGGACAGCGGAACCGGTTGAACAAATGCCAAGATAATGATTCTCCAGGTCAACTGAATCAAATGATGCAACAGGTCAAAATTGCGAAAATTGGGATTCATACCCAAAAAAACAACTAAATAGGGTAACGAAGCAAACATGGCTCAGATCTGCGTTGTTTGAAGGCTTGTCTTTTGACCTGCCCGCTTCACGCCGTTTCATATCAGCAAACTGCTGTTGACGCTCATGTTTCAGTTTGTGCTTTACAACTTCAGACAGCTGACCTAGGAATTCTCAACTAGAAATCAAACCAGCAAACGAGGTGCTAAACAATATGACATTTGCACGTGCGAACTATTCTCCATGGCTGAATATTTTGAAACTGCTTGAAACGGTCGTGCGCCGTTAGCTCAAGCTCCGTGTCTCAGTCTCAAGACGAGGCTGTCGAACATGACCGTCACAGCAACACTGCACAAAACATGTATGCTGATTGATACAAGTACACCCTGCCAAAAAATCAAAAAACACGTAATGTTTGCACCCGATTAAAGAGATGGTACCCTATTGTGAGAAATTTCTTGCTCCTAATTCAGTCACATGCTAATTGTTGGGGGGGGGCCTCTATTGTGATTTTCCAGATTTTTTTCAATTTATATTTTTCCAAATGCTTTAATGAACTTTATTTTTTAAAATTATTTTTCTCTTTATGTTTATTTTAATTTTATCTTAGATGCCTTATCAAACCCTTATTTAAAAAAACAGCATCCAAACAATTTTTCAAGGGGGTACCTCATGAGTGGCTCAGTTACTCAATAATATAATTGTTTGGATGGTACTCTATTGTGAGAACCAACTTTTGGGAGTGAAAAAAAAACAAAACCCTTTCTCCACCTTTCTTTGAGTAAAGCTGGTCCCTTTACTGTAGAAAGCCATATTTGTGTTAAAGCATTTAAAATGCAAGGTTTTCCAAATAATTAGATGCCTTATTAAACCCTTATTAAAAAAAAAGCATCCAGACAATTTTTCAAGGGGGTACCTCATGAGTGGCTCAGTTACTCAAAAATATAATTGTTTCGATGGTACTCTATTGTGAGCACCAACTTTTGGGAGTGAAAGAAAAACCTTTCTCCACCTTTCTTTGGGTAAAGCTGGTCCTTTCACTTTAGGAAGCCATATTTGTGTTAAAGTTTTAAAATGCAAGGTTGCCCAAATAATTAGATGCCTTATTAAACCCTTATTAAAAAACAGTACCCAGACAATTTTTCAAGGGGATACCTCATGAGTGGCTCAGTTACTCAATAATATAATTGCCTGGATGGTACTCTATTGTGAGCGGTAAAGCTGGTCCTTTCACTTTAGAAAGCCATATTTGTGTTAAAGCTTTAAAATGCAAGGTTTCTCAAATAATTAGATGCCTTATTAAACCCTTATTAAAAAAACAGCATCCAGACAATTTTTCAAGGGGATACCTCATGAGTGGCTCAGTTACTCAATAATATAATTGCCTGGATGGTACTCTATTGTGAGCGGTAAAGCTGGTCCTTTCACTTTAGAAAGCCATATTTGTGTTAAAGCTTTAAAATGCAAGGTTTCCCAAATAATTAGATGCCTTATTAAACCCTTATTAAAAAAAAACAGCATCCAGACAATTTTTCAAGGGGGTACCTCATGAGTGGCTCAGTTACTCAATAATATAATTGTTTGGATGGTATTCTATTGTGAGCACCAACTTTTGGGAGTGAAAAAAGAAACAAAGCCATTTCTCCACCTTTCTTTGGGTAAAGCTGGTCCTTTCACTTTAGAAAGCCATATTTGTGTTAAAGCTTTAAAATGCAAGGTTGCCCAAATAATTAGATGCCTTATTAAACCCTTATTAAAAAAACAGCATCCAGACAATTTTTCAAGGGGGTACATCATGAGTGGCTCAGTTACTCAAAAATATAATTGTTTGGATGGTATTCTATTGTGAGCACCAACTTTTGGGAGTGAAAAAAAAACCTTTCTCCACCTTTCTTTGGGTAAAGCTGGCCCCTTTACTGTAGAAAGCCATAGTTGTGTTAAAGCTTTAAAATGCAAGGTTTCCCAAATAATTAGATGCCTTATTAAAACCTTATTAAAAAACAGCACCCAGACATTTTTTCAAGGGGATACCTCATGAGTGGCTCAGCTACTCAATAATATAATTGTTTGGATGGTACTCTATTGTGAGCACCAACTTTTGGGAGTGAAAAAAAAACAAAACCCTTTCTCCACCTTTCTTTGAGTAAAGCTGGTCCCTTCACTGTAGAAAGCCATAGTTGTGTTAAAACTCAAAACGCAAGGTTTCCCAAATAATTAGATGCCTTATTAAACCCTTATTAAAAAACAGCATCCAGACAATTTTTCAAGGGTGTACCTCATGAGTGGCTCAGTTACTGAATAATATAATTGTTTGGATGGTACTCTATTGTGAGCACCAACTTTTTGGAGTGAAAAAAAAATGAAAGTAAATTAAAAGTAAATTGAGTTCAATAGAAAGTAAATTGAAAGTAAATTAAAAGTAAATTGAAATCAATTGAAATTAAATTGAAAGTAAATTGAAATCAATTGAAAGTAAATTGAAAGTAAATTATAAGTAAATTGAAATCAATTGAAAGTAAATTGAAGGTAAATTAAAAGTAAATTGAAATCAATTGAAAATAAATTGAAAGTAAATTAAAAGTAAATTGAAATCAATTGAAATCAATTGAAAGTAAATTAAAAGTAAATTGAAATCAATTGAAAGTAAATTGAAATCCTTTCTTAAGTTGATTGACCAAAAAAAGTTGAGGGGGGGCAAAAAAAAGTGCGAGTTATAGAGTATCCTCAAATTGTTGGGGGGGGGCCCTCACACTAATCAGATGCAAACATTGTAGATATGATCGTATATGCCTTAAAACACTCGAGTTCACGCCTCTAAAACCCGGGCGGTTTCGCACAAGCCATGAGCTTCGGAAAAACGCCAGGGAGGGCCGAGCAGATCACACTGACCAAATTGGACAAACTCATGCGCTCAAACACAGGTCGAAAACAGTGTCGCTACTGTGTTGCAAACGCAAACGACTGGCGGTCAGTGCACATGTGAATCTCAGCTACAAATGTCGTCTAGGCTTTTGGTCAACTGCGTGATATTGGTTGACATACTCAGAACAGCAGGAAGACAAAGCTGAAAACTCTTCCAAACAATGCGTTTGAGTAAAGAAGTGAAGGATAGAGGCACAAAAACATGTCACCTATGCTGAGATCCAAGTGCTAGCTGCTAATAAAATTCTAAAAGTTCAAACAGCACTGCATGTCCCAAGCAACACAACTTGGTGTGCAAAAGCACGGGGCATGTCTGAGGCGATGCGTAACAAAGCGACGCGCTTATGAATTTCCTGGAGGCTCAACTCTTGACATTTTCTGGCTTTGTAGATGTTTAGTCATCTGCTTTTGTCTAAAGCGGATGGATTGTGGCCAAAGACCTGAGTCTCCTTATGTCTTAAAAGAAAACGTCAATGTCTGGTATCTGATTTCAAGGTCTGGGGCTGAAGTGTGCAAACTGAAAGCTGCCCACAAGGATTTAAAGTAGTTGCAAAAAAAAGGAACATGCAGTTCTGCAAAATACAAGCCAACAAACAGGTTGCGAACCCCCCAAAAAAGGATAGCGGACCTTTGCAGATTTTCCAGATTATGGGATGGCCACACCGTGCGACGTCATGCTGCTACACGGTATTACATAATTAACTCCAAATTTATTGGAAAGCGGAACCGGTTGAACACATGCCAAGATAATGATTCTCCAGGTCAACTGAATCAAATGATGCAACAGGTCAAAATTGTGATTCATAACAAAAAAACTAAATATGGTAACGAAGCAAACATGGCTCAGATCTGTGTTGTTTGAAGGCTTGTCTTTTGACCTGCCCGCTTCACGCAGTTTCATATCAGCAAACTGCTGTTGACGGTCATGTTTCAGTTTGTGCTTTACAACTTCAGACAGCTGACCTAGGAATTCTCAACTAGAAATCAAACCAGCAAACGAGGTGCTAAACAATATGACATTTGCACGTGCGAACTATTCTCCATGGCTGAATATTGAAAACCCTGCAAAAAAAAGACGTATGCCTTACAACACTTGAGCTCACGCCTCTAAAATCCGGGCGGTTTCGCGCAAGTCCTTCAGCTCATTGGCCATGAGCTTCGGAAAAACGCCAGGGAGGGTCAAGCAGATCACACTGACCAAATTGGACAAACTCATGCGCTCCAACGCAAATCGAATCCTCCGGGGAGTCCGTTGGACTCTGTTACCCACAGGTGCTTGGACCGCTCGGACGATTATTTCACTCTTCAGTAGCTGAAGCACTTGATGAGCCCCGGGAAGTTCGCTCGCCTTGGACACAAGCAAAGGGCCCCAGTGCACTTTTGGGAACCTAAAAATAATTATCCTTGAGCTGGCCAAGCACCAAAAAAAAAGGAAAAAAACAAAAATCCTAATGATCTTATAAAACCACATAATTCTGTTTTAGCTTTAGTCCTTTTCTACTTGGAGGGTCTAGGAGCTACAGTAGGATCACCGTAAGTCCCCAGCCTCCACCTTCTCGCGCACATATGGTAGAATCAACTCCATGAAGGTCACCGCGGGAAGGCGTTTCAAGAACTCTCTCTGCTGCTTGTCAAAGGAAGGAGGGCGCAATTCCTGAATTGGGGCAGCCACCGAACTTGTAGGATTAGAAGGTTAGCTCGCCTAAAATTGGGGTTTCAGTTGTGCGTTATTAAAGACAGTTTAGTCAGCAAACTTCCGAGTTACGGACAATGGTCATGGTCAGCATTCACACCATCAGTTCAACCGTGCATCATCATGTCAACCCCACCATCAAGTAGTTATAGGAAAAAGGGTCCGGGAGCGTGTGAATTCATGGGTGAAAGCACTCTGGGGCAGGAAACCCTGTGTTTTTACGGGCATGGTGGCGGGTCTGTGTTTCTGCAGTTTGCGCCTCGATTGGGGAAAGCTGCCGACAGCGCGAGCGCAATTTGCACTTCAAAATGCAAAAAATGACGGTCTCGAAGCACTTTTGGAAGATGAGGTCGGAAAAATGCATTGATTCATTGACTCTTTAAATCGCTGAACCTTTGGTTCATTGGTTCATTGAATCGTTGATCCACTGATTCATTGATTCATTGAACCGTTGAATCATTGATTCAGTGATTCACCGTGCCACTGATTCATCTATTTGTTGACGTGCTCATTGATTCATTGATTCACTGATTCGTTTTGATTCATTGACTCACTTCATTGATTCATTGAATGGTTGAGCCATTAATATTGGTTCGCTGGTTCATTGATTCATTATTTCATTGTTCCGCAGATTCATTGTGGTTCATTGATCCACTGAATCGTTGGTTCATTGATTTGGAAATCATTGAATATTCTATTCGCTGATCCATTAATTCATTGATTTATTGTAATCATTGCTTCAGTGACTCAGTGATTGTTGACTGATTGATTCAATGATCCATTCATCGGTTCAAAGATTCCTTGATTCATTGATTCATAGAAATCTTTGATTAATTCATTGTTTCATTCATTCACTGAGTCACTGATGCATTGAATCATTCATTATTGGTTCGTTAAACCACTGATTCATTGTTTCATTGACTCAGTGATTCGTTGATTCGTTGATTCACTGATTCGTTGATTCATTGGTTTATTGGTTTATTCAGGGAGCTCTGCGTGGATTCTGTCAAGTCATTTCATTATATTTCATTGGCGCCACAACTACCACTTGCTCAGTCGTTGATACACCTCGCAACTTCATCACTTCATTGCTTGTGCATCTCAAAGTTTTTCCTAAAAGCCATTGATTTCTTATAGTTTTTTTTCTGAAACTTCCGCCCCTGCACGGGCCGAGCGCTGACTTATAACTTATGACCCACTTACTAACTGGGGTGAAACACCAAGTAAGATGTCTAACCAAAATTGGGCAAAGCCGAGACTTACAATAAATCAGACTACAGCCTTGCTGAACGTTTCACTACGCATCGTGATCCTGGTGGCAGAAACCACAATCTGAGCCCTTCTGACACGTGCCTTTCACCATCAAGATGCATGGCCTTCGACAAATGTTGGGATGGCCGTAGCTTCCCAGCGAAGGGGTCGCCTGACCATGATGTGACATAACCATACATAACCCCTCAATCCAGACCAACAGGAGCAAATAAAACACATGCATAGAACATCCAACTCTTCAAAACTAAAGAAACCTCTCAATTTCCAACTTCGGATGATCTACAGCTACAGTGTTCGGGCATGTTCGGGCGCATATGAAGCATAATTAGTTTCCATTGATTTTGTTTGGATTTCGGGTCTGGTTTTTGGGAATAATCGATTTCCCACAAAACACTCCCTCCTACAAAAATAGGAGCAGGTCGGCCGTTTTTCAGGTTTGGCATTTAGTTTCACTGTGTTTTTGATTGCGGTCCTTGAACTTTGAACTGCATGCCACGCATGCCCCCTCATTAATCGAAACATGGTTCTGGGTTATATATTGGGGTGGTCCCGCCCTTGCCCGGCTCCATGCCAATCGCAGCACCCAGCAGGACAGCCATTGAGCCAAACAGACAGATCTCACACCGCCCCCTTTGCTTTCGCGAGTGACCCAACTGATTGTCAAATGTCTGTGATCTTTGGCCCCAACGAACAATACCCTTTCAGAGAAGAAGCCAAATTCAAAGCAGGCGCTTTGAGCGCCCGAACTCCATGTAAGGAATCTGAAAGCAACATGACAGGAATCGAAAGGCAATCTGAAAGGAGGAGTCCGAAAGCGACCTATGAAAGCAGTCTGAAAACATAAGGTTTGAAAACGCTTAAACAATACCCCTTTGGACCACCCAGGGAGGTTCACTCCTTGGAAAAAAAATCCGAAATCATGTTTTCCCTAGGGCTCCAACCTATCAACATTAAAAACAATGATATTAAAATCGGAGATGTTAGAGCTATAACATCCATACAACATCAAAAATCCGTAAAAAAAAATCCTGGTCTCCCAGCGTCTAAGCTTCGGTCATATTTATCCAACATCTCAAAAATGTTATCCTGTCCTCTACCCCACTTCCAAAATAATCCTAGTGTCGAATCGACGTCCATTTTTTTATCCTGTCCCCTAACCCCCCCTTCTCAAATCTATTTTACATATGGCCAAGGTCCAAAAAAATAAAACCCATGGTCCTAAAACTAGGGCACTAGGTCATCTATATGTACATTATTATAGTATAATTATATATATGATATATCCATGTAATACACGTTTATCACGTGCAGAATTAATTCATTTTTTGGATTTCAAAACTTTCTTTGAAGTAAACCTACAGGACTAAAAATTGGTGGTACAAACGGGTATCTTTAAAAGAGTGGCATTCCATGAAAATGTCAAGGTTCCTGTGCCCAATGTTTTTGTTTTTGAAGAAAAACACGGATCAAAGCGGGCGCTTTGAATGCCCAACCCCTATGTAAGAAATGTAAAGCACCATGTGCAGGAATCTGAGTCTGAAAGCAAGCTGAAAACAGCCTGATACATGTTGAAACAGCCTTGAAGGCCGGGAAAAATTGTATTCCGCCAACATGTGAAGGTTCCTGTCCCCAATGTTTTCGATTTTCAGTTGCTTCATTTCGACTTGTGTTTGTGTTGTAGACAATGATCGACCAAGTGCTTTCAAGCCAAATCTCCCAGACCCAGGGATTGAAACCCAACAAGCCAATACTTTTGGAACCATGACGTGACCATGTTTCAGGACCCTAGTATTAAGACCACCCAATCAAAAACAACACACCACTGCGTCTAGCCCCGGCCTGGCGGACCAGTCCGCCAATTTCATGTGGGGCAGCCTGCCCCGTAGACACCAGCTTGGACCTTTCCTGAAGTTTGGACACCTGACGCAGTTGGTACCCGAAACCTCCGGATTGGTCCCAGAATATTTGTAGGTCCTTTTCGTTGGTGAACAATCTGGGTCTATACCAAACGAAACGTTGTGCATAACGCAGGTTATCTTGGGTAAGTTCAAGCAACAATCATACGTTTACCTTTGAAAGGATTTTTCGGTACGCCAGGTACAACATAACTCTGTTTGAATTGTATATACGAAGAGTTTTATACATAATACATGTGTAAAAATATAAATCATATATTATATGCAATATAACAAGGAAATCTTCAGCTTTTGAAGCCAATGCACCTGCAGTGCACGCTGCTTCTGTTCGCGCATCGCATGAAGCTTGGTTGCATCTTTGGGCATTGGCAACGTCTTCCTTGGATACTGAGCCAACACGAAAAACTGTACATCCTGACTTCCGGCAGCAACCTATTTACCCGCTGGTAAACGTTTACATAAGTATGGAAAATCACAATGTTTAATGGGTAGATCAACTATACTATAAATGCCAAGTTCAATAGCTATGTTAAAGTACCAGAGGGTAAATGAATTTCAATGAAAGGCCTAAGTTTCTGGTAAACATCAAACACAACAACCTTGCAAAAGTGGGGATGGAGTATTCTTGGTTTTCCCACATGACAAAAGCAAAGAGTCGGCATTGGCGGACAGCTCTTTGCTCGGATGACCTGCACTGCTGGTTCCGCGACCTCGTCGATGAAGGTCATGTGGTAGCGGAAACAAGCCATGGCGACAACACGCAAGCGATATCAAGCGATAACGCTTCCGATCAAAAAACAAGAGCAGAACTTGCTGCGATGCCATAGTG